TGAATAAAAAATAAAATATTTTTTTTGCATACCTGGGCCGACGGGGTCTGCCGCGGTCGCGTAGTTCAGAGAGGGGTTCCCATCGTGGTTTGACAGCGGTCGCGGTAGAAGCGCGGTAGACGAAGTTCAGAGAGTGTCTCTGACCGCGGTCTGGGCAGTTGTCTGATTTAAATTTTTTATTTTATTTTATATAATGTGTTACACTTACAACAATTTCGTGGGTTGCATCCCATGCAGCACTTGATTTAATGTCGCGGCACGATGCAGGATGAGCACATTTAAGGCTCGTTCGACCTTTGTGGGTCAGTCAGGTGCAGCTCAGACACTTCCTTTTTCTCGCTCATGCCCACATATGGCTTCAATCTCTGACCATTGACTCTGAATGTACGAGAGTCATTCTCTATGGCAATCTCAATAGCTCCTGAAGGGAAAACATCAACTACTCGAAATGGTCCAGACTATCGTGACTTAAGTTTACCTGGGAACAAACATAGTCTTGAGTTGTATAGCAGTACCATGTCCCCAGGTTCGAAATTTCTCTCAACAATGTTCTGGTCATGCAGCCTCTTCATTCTCTCCTTATACAATTTTGTGCTCTCAAAAGCAAGATATCTGAACTCATCGAGCTCATGCAATTCAGTGACTCTTGATGTGCCCGCAGCTTCCATGTCTAAGTTCAGCTGTTTCAATGCCCACCACGCTTTATGTTCAAGTTCCACTGGCAGGTGGCAGGCCTTCCCAAACACCAACTTGTATGGTGACATACCAATTGGAGTTTTGAAGGCAGTTCTGTAAGCCCAGAGTGCATCATCTAGCTTCTTCACCCAATCAGTTCTTGTGGCGTTTATAGTTTTGGTTAACACACTCTTGATTTCTCTGTTGGACACTTCAACTTGTCCACTATCTGCGGTTGGTAAGGAGTAGCCACCTTGTGGCGCACATCGTACTTAGCAAGCAACTTTTCAAAGGCCATGTTGCAGAAATGAGTGCCTCCATCACTGATAATTGCTCGTGGTGTCCAAAAGCAGGTGAATATGTTCTTCTTTAGAAATCCCACCACCACTTTTGCATCATTGGTGGGTAATGCCACAGCTTTCACCTATTTGGACACATAGTCTACAGCAACAATAATGTACTTATTGCCATAAGAGCTGACGAAGGGACCCATGAAGTCAATCCTCCAGACGTTAAACATTTCTACCTCTTGAATTGGGTGCATTGGCATCTCGTGGCGTCGGGAAATGTTCCCGATCCGCTGACATTCATTGCAGCCCTTCACCCATAGGTGCGCATCTTTAAACACTGTCGGCCAGAAGAATCCAGCCTCTAGCACCTTTACCGCTGTCCTAACCCCTCCAAAGTGTCCACCATACGCCGATGCATTACAAGCCTGCAAAACAGAAAATTACTCTATCTCGGGGATGCATCTCTGGATCATATTATCAAGGCATATTCTAAACAGATAAGGTTCATCCCAGTAATACTGGCGGCTTTCACGAAAAAATCTTTTCCTTTGGACCGATGAAAGGTCGTGAGGAACTATATGACTGGCCAGGTAATTAGTAAAGTTTGCATACCATGGCGCTTCCTGATGAGTGGTGGCGAGCAGCTGCTCGTCTGGAAAAGTTTCCAGTATTTCTTCAACCTCAACTACATTTTCAGCTCAATCAAGTCGTGAAAGATGATCAGCGACTTGATTCTCAGTGCCTTTACGGTCACGAATCTCAAGATCGAACTCTTGCAATAGTAACACCCAACGAATCAGGCGCGACTTAGATTCTTTCTTTTCTATTAAGTACCTGAGAGCTGCATGGTCAGTATATACAATTACCTTGGACCCTATCAGGTAGGATCGGAACTTATCAAACGAGAACACAACAGCCAATATCTCCTTTTCAATCACAGTGTAGTTCAACTGGGCTCCGCTCAGCGTTCTACTAGCATAGTAGATTGGGTGCATCAGTTTTTCTTTCCGTTGGCCCAGCACTGCTCCCAATGCATAGTCACTGGCATCACACATTAGTTTGAACAGTTTCTCCCAGTTGGGGGCAACAATGATGGGTGCTGTGACCAGTCTCTTTTTTAACTCCTTAAATGCTGCCATGCAATCATCAGAAAATAAAAACGGGTGATCTTTTTCTAACAACTTACAGAGGGGATTGGCGATTTTGGAGAAGTCTTTTATGAACCTCCGGTAAAAACCGGCATGTCCAAGGAAGCTTCTGATGGTTTTGACTGAAGTTGGTGGAGGCATCTTTGCTATTACATCAACTTTCGCGCGATCTACCTCTATTCCCTTACTTGACACCCGGTGCCCCAAGACTATGCCTTCTTGTACCATGAAATGGTACTTCTCCCAGTTCAGAACCAAGTTAGTCTCGATACACCGTTTTAGCACACGCGTCAGATTTATCAGGCACTCATCAAATGAATTCCCCACCACTGAGAAGTCATCCATGAACACCTCCATTATGTACTCAACCATGTCAGTGAATGGCCATCATGCACCGTTGGAATGTGGCAGGTGCGTTGCATAGGCCAAAGGGCATCCGTCTA